ATCAATGAGAAGATTCAAACAATCAATACAAAATGAATAAAAACTGTCTGGCTTATATATAAACTATAGATAATACGATGAAAACGATGTGGGTATAATTTCTTCTAGTGAAGTTAGATATCAAAAGGATAAATGTTTATCATTTCAGAAGTACACAGTATTTCTAATGACGTTTTTTTCAATAATGGTACCTTGAAGTAGTTGGTAATCACGAAGCACTTGACATATAGATAATGTAGAATGTACGTAACAGGTTTTTCTGGACATTTAGATATGTTTTTCATCAAATATATCGATTGGATTAAATTTATATAGTTTTCATACGTCTACCGTTTCTATTGATTCTTGTTATTAACAAAACCTGGTAAGACCTGGTCAAGAAACCATATTTTTTAAAAATCATCTATATTTATATGTTTCTGACTCTATAATAACCAATTCTGTGTCTAAGTCTGTTGACAAATAAGTATTTTATAAATAGACCACTAACCTTCATTCTGAAAAGCCTACTTTTCTTCATTAGTGGATATATACATGAGTGACTGTGTTGGAAATTATTAGATTTGAGTTTGTTACTAATGTCTAACGTAACTTTATTGCAGATAATTATGAGTGAAAAAAGTGTACTCAGTAGAAGATGGAATTCGGTAAAGTAACTACCATCAATTCTGTACATCATATATCATTAAATGAATATACTCTATCCAAAAGACCTTTGAGAGACGCTAATGTGACCTTGGGCATGTCCACCAAATAACTAGGACTAAATGAGGGTTATAAACCAGAGTGATGGATTAGGATTCACAGTTGGCAGTTAGTATTAAAAATTAGATTTTTAGTTTTCATCACGAACTGACATCAGCTAAATGGATGAATGATGAAGAGAAGAATATTGGTTCAACTGCTGCTTTATCCCAGTCATTTTCTCAAATACACTTGTTTACACACATTTGATTATGTAACTTTTTAGCTAAAAGTATTTTCTGTCAAACAAACGAAAACCGTTTTTTTGAAGAATTTGTTATTTTAATTGTTTTATTACTAAAAACAATTTAATTTTAGGTCATAAGACTGTGAAATAAGATAGATGGTTGGTCGATTGCCTATTCCTTTAATGGACTAGATATTTGAGAGCTGAATGACCATTTCTAATCCACTTTATTTGGTTTCAGGAATCGATTTCTATCACTGTCTGACTGATATTAGATGTTTTCATTATAAAATGAATCAAGCTTATATTTGTTGGCCTACGTTTGATCGTACGAAAATGCTATGTCCATAAATATTCCATTTAACTACGTAATTACCTAGGCTGACCCCGTTTGTGTGAAGGCGGTAATAACAAGCCAAATACTGGTTGCATTGAAGGGACTTATTTCAAGCATTCGTTTATCCAAACAGATATCCAGAATAAGAAGCGGAGGAGAGTAAGCCAAATCATTTTGAAGAAGGTTCAACGTCTACAGTCAGACAAAATAAGTTACAGACACGTTAGGAATAGGATAAGTAATTTAAGCACATACTCTCATATTGAAACAGATAAATTTAATAAAAGAATAATTAAAGGTCAAAATGTGACTTGAAAAGAATGAATATATTCGTCTGTTCGAAGCCTAGAATAACCCATGAGGGCTTGACATAGGATGAGATGCTACATATTCAAAACATAACTTGCAAATTATGGTTTGAAGAACTGAGCCAGTCAAACTTGCTTGCCAGTTGATGTACAGAATGTAAATTTAGATATTCTAGTTATCAAACTCTGATGTTAACTAGAAATAAGAATTATAAATCTGATTATTGAACCATTCATTGATAAATATTTTCAAGACATGTTAGCATTGAAGGAATTTGTATTCCCTGAAAATGTTTTAACAGATGTAAATCTTTGGGACTTGAACTGTTTCTAAATGTTGCCTGCCTTACGTGAAATGAGAATAGTCGTTTGAGTTGTTGAGTATTTATTTAGTTTTTGTGGTTTATATTCATCCTAGTGATGTAACCTTAGTTGTTGCATAGATTATAAATCACGAGACTGCTGTTGAAAACCTATAAGCACTGGAAGCCCATTTCGTTGAAGTTTTGGACTCCTGAACAATGATTATTCATGATCCCCTTACAGGTAATCGAGCCTAAGACCTTCGATTTCGCTCACAAAGTCAACTCCATTCTATAAAACGGTTAGTCCTACTTTGAGGCTACACGTTTATACGTTCAAAATATTTTAATGCAAATAGAACTGCTCACAGCTTCATCAGACAATGTTGAATAGAAAGATAAGGGGAATATACAGAAGCTATAACTGGCTAGTAGACTGATTCCAAAGTGATAGCCGATCAAACTACCAAGGAATTGTCAAGTATAGAAACATGCATACTGTTTGCACAATTACAACTGAAAATGTTAAGTAAAGGTTAAATAAGATGCATATTGAATGAGTCCCCACTCAGAGTGCAGATATATAAAAAAATTCTGTATTTGAAAATGACAAACACTTTGACGAATGAAAGTTGAATAAATCGGATTATCAAAATATTAAATGAAAAATGTGTGTAGAAATTTATTATATAAAAGTGACACACAGACGTTTAGAAAAAATGTAGGGAACTAACTGTTAGATAATTCGTTATAGTGTGATAATAATAATGCGATGACATAAAAAATCTTTTAAAACGATCAAATTGATTTTGTCTGCAAATGGCTGAGTTTGTAAGCAGTCAGTTAGTTGTCAAAATAATTTCAAAGTTGACCGATCGAATTTTATCGATCTGCACTCATAAGGAATTGACATAAATGGTACCCAGTAATCAATCAATCGTAAATAAATCTCAGTCCTACAGGAGGTCGATTACGTCCCGGAAAGTTAACTAATAACGTCTCTTACTGTGGAGCTGAGTGAAATGAGATTGAATCACTAGTGCCAGATAGTACGAAACCTAAGTCCAGGGTATCTTGTCGGCTATCCCTAACCACAACCTCATAAGCTGTTCATTTATCCAAACACAGAATCGATTATTAACAAAAACTTTTATTTATACGCAGATGTACTTGAACTCATTATTCGTTAACAAATGTCACATTGTAACACCAATAAACATAATGTTATGCTCAGTTGCTTCAAACGAAATTCTATACTGAATCTACACAGTGTATATCATTCACAGAGGTATTACATATGATGAAATGCCTTGCTATTACTGGAAAATTTAGAACTTAAAATTTTCTCTTAACAGTATAACGGATGAAGACATTTTAGATAACCTTTACATTTCCACATAGAATCGTTGATAAGAAACTTTTAACCGTTACTTTACTTTATTAATACACAGAAGTTAAACATAGTAAAAAATTATAAGGAGAATTTTAGCAAAGTAATGAAAAAAAAAACGATGAGACATTAAAAAGTGATCTTTGAAATAAGCAGAATATTATACTGATGAAATATGTTTGAACCAGAAATAAAACTCCTAAACAGAAATGATACAACATGAATATTTAGCTAGAGTTCCTAATTAAACGGAATGAGCAGCCTGATTTCTGTAAATAGACATATACCTGATAGACTAAAACATTAGATAAACAATCTTTGAAAAATAAATTTAAAAAACAGCTACCCTTCTTATCTCCATGCATGTCAAATCTCTTCACCACATTTTATCATAAACGGTCGATGAGTAAACAATCCCCTGTACAAGATCATCCAAAATCGATTATACATAGACATTAGCTTATTCAATAAGACAATCAAATACAATACAAAACAATCTAAAAACAACACAGAATATTAACTAAACCATACAACGTTAAAAAGATTAGTTTACAAAACATCAGCTGTAAAATTAAATTAAAAATTGAAGTAAACAAATCTGTTCAAAAATTCAAAGCAAACTTTCTCATAGTATTAGAAATAATAAACAATGCAGATTATCAACAGAATAAAAACTAAAAATTACAGAAATCTAGATCGGACAACAAGAAACACATTTATATTAGCAAGATTAGCTTTAGAACCATAGAAAATTGATACAGAATACTCAATTTGTTTTATCGGACCAAATAAAAAAATGTTTCTATGATGATCTACACAAAGACTATGGTATATCAAATGTGAATCTAGGGAAAAAGAGCAACGATATATTTGTTATTCCTTAAGTAAACATTTCCATATACTAAAATACCATTAGTCAACTGATATAAAATACGAAATCAGAAGAATGTTACAAAACAAAAGTCAACTTATGTAAAGTATAAAAATTAAATTGTGTGTGAAGAGAAGATGAAATAGAAATTTATAATAAAATTATTTCAACAAACACAAAATGAGGCAGTAACAGATAATCATAGTATAACAGAACACAAAAAAGCAACATATACGTCGTCAACTACTACATTACATATTCGAAAAAAAACATAACTGTAAATAAATTGATAGAAATTCTCAAAAATGAAGAAAAATTTCTTATTCTAACATTCAAAGCACATTCATAGTCTTCAACAGGAAATGGAGTTATTCAACACTTGCTTGTTCACAGAATAATTTATCAATCATTAGCGTAAATGAAAACTAGTCTCATTAGTGAGTAGGTCTGTGTACTTACTAAAATCTCAATGGATGTATCTATCAAAAAGTGTTTAGGAAGTAGCAAATAGTATACATTTTCTCAATCTCGTTTCTAGTCTCTATTTAAGGAGAGATTTTCACAAAGCATTGCGTCGTTTATCTAACAACAATTCACCCTTATCATTAACTTGAAACATAACAAAAATCGATTACTCAAGTGCAATCTCATGAAAGTGAATTGCGAACATTACATAAAATTGCAATTCCAGTCAACAAGTATATAATTGGAAGGAATCAAAATTTAATGACCGATTTGTTGTAACAGGATAATTTATATGAGAAAATACAAGAATGAAGATAATCATATTGATATCCTTCATTTTCTTACCTATCATACTAAACCAAAACATAAACGACCAATCAAACTTTTTCCATAATAATGATTCCAGGTCTACAACAACAAACAACAGTTGGAGAGTACGCAATGGTAACACGAATGGTGAAAAGAAAAAGGGCTCATTTGGTGGTGAATTCGACTTGTCGTGGTTATCAGGAAATTCAAATCGAAGATATGCATTTAAAGAAGATGGAGAAGCAAATGCTAAAGGTAATTTCAATAGACACGGACGAGGGGAATATGATAGTATGTCAACCCGTTCATCCAGATTCAAGGTGAAGGGTTCGATTGACAAGTATGGAAACGCACATTCCAATATTCCAAGTTGAGAAGAGGTGGAAAACGAAGGAGTTATTCGAAAAGATTTTCCGTTGACAATTTCGATATCAATGGTGATGTATATTATAAACGTAAAAGTATGGGATTAGGATCAGACAGTGAAAGTGCTAAACATATCAAAATAAAGGTCACTTCTGATAGTGATTCTGATAGGGAAAATTCACTTGAGACTGACAATAGTAAATCGAGAAGTAGACGTAGTGATTCACAAATGGAAACTACTGTTCGTCGGAATACTTCTCAATCTACAGTTGGTGAACCTAGAGGATTGTAGAACAAACATTGATGCAGAATAATATGAATTCATTATATTTCGTGGTTTCTCATCAGCTGCCTACAACCAGATATGTATTAGAATTTTACATTGAGATAAGAAATAGTATGGAACAATTGATATAAGTGAATGTAAACAATTGGAATGACAAATGTTATCAATAATAATAATGTATATAATGCAAGAACAGGTCAGAGGTTATTTGATGTTAGAATCAAGGAAACATTAAGGATGGGTGATGTAATAGTTGAGTGGAGTTCAAAGACAGATAAGATAAATTGTGTGATAATTTTAGAGGTAATGCAGGATTTACATAAGATTCATGGAATTAAAATCTGATAAGACGGGTTACGTAATAATTGAATAAAATTCAAAGAGTTCACATAATTTAAGAGAATCAAGTGAGTGGAAATGTATGAGGTGAGGGGTGGTTTAAGAATTTGTTAATAGGAGAGAAATGCAGCACAAACTAAACATTAACAAAATAAAACTAATGATTAGAAAAACGGAATTAGCAGGGTAGTAATAGGTTTATTACAGTCCTTTTTGAATACATGGATCCAGTTTGAGTGTTTTTATCGCGATCACTTCAGCGAAACGGAAAGAAACAGTATTTCATTGTCTGCTAATAATTGTAAAAGCATGGGAGAATGTCAATGGTATGCCCGTTGTCAAGTAAATACCGAGCTATTGCATTGTTAAGAGCCTTGTCCCTCGCAGTCTCAATTTCTTTGGAACATGCTTGCAAATGCGAACATGTACTCTTCTCTTGGTTCTTCCAATGCATGTGCCTTGACACGTACATGTAAACTGGTAAATGCGGTTGGAACTACTGAGAAAAGAGCACCTGTTGATTTTAGTTTGTTTGAATGAACAGTTCATTTCCTATACCATCGTTAGTTTTACTCCTGGCTAGGTCACTTTCAACGCGGAATTTACTTTGTGATTAATTATTCCAGTGATTTTGTCTGCTTTGAAGCGTAAGTATAAGGAGCAAATTTTCTTTTCCACTCTATCCTACTTTACCTGAGGGTTGGTTTTTGCATATTTCTGAATGAAATTCGCCGGATATACATTTCCAAGTGAGCAATTTGTGATGAGAATAATTTCTTTATCTAGCATTCCTTTGAGCGAATTTTGCGTGCTCGGTCAAAAAGGGTTCGTATGATACTCTTTTAGTAACTCATTGGATAGAAACTGTAGTAATTGAGATGAATTTCACTCTAGGTATTTTTGCGGTGAGCATGTCTTTGTAATTTGTCATTTGATATTCGTCTGATTCCAATATCCAGGAAATGGAATTTACCTTCTACTTCGTGTTCCATAGTAAAATCTTTATCCTAGTATGTTCTACTAAACAGATTGTGTAGGTGATGAATGAACACTGAAAGAGGTACACATATATTACCCTTATTTATCCACTAAACTGTAGACTACTGTATAAGAATATGTTTGAATCAACACTATCTATACTCTATCATGTACAACATTCATTTTAAGGATCATGAATGAAGAATTTGTTTATTCATTTTTAATGAGACTAATCCTATTAATACATCTGATCCATCTAACAACAATTTTATAAATCCCATTCAAAATAAATACTATTTCACATTTAAATTACACTGAACGTCATCAATTTGTGGGGCCACAATAACAGGTATGCAGAAATAAACATTTACTATTATTATTATTTATTAAGGTGTAGATGTGTTCACTAATTTAAGTGTTCATCGCCAACTCAATCGGTCTAGCTGTAAGACACAATAAAAATTCATGTTAATTGAAATCAGTTGTTAATTATCATTAATATTATTCTATTTGTTATTACAAACAATCTACTTAATGCTCAATTTATTTGAAATGATCAAGTGTTACGTAATTATTATCTAGTAATTTACATCATGAACTGAATTAGTTAGACAAATATTGAGAATCTGGACTGAGTGAAAAGTGTTTCATCATTGTCAAGTACTGTTCAACATTGCTCACCCTCAAAACTACTACAGTATAAATACTAATAGTTCATGCATTTTAGCTGTCAACCTACTTTCATACCAATCAATCAACATCCTACAATATTTTGCTGATGAATTCCATAATTGGACAAACGAGTTGTTCACTTTTACATGAAACGACTACAGTTTCCTAACTAAATTCAGTCATTGTGTAGGTGTGAAGGATAAAATCTATGCCAAACTCAGAATTAGAAATGATATTATTTTAAAGAAAAGAATCGTAGATTGTGTACACACTATAATGATCATAAATAGTGAATTCATATAGCTGTCGTTATTAAGTAACTTGGTAACACACTGTAGACATAGTCAGATTTCAAGATGATAGCTGTGAAATTATGAGGATTCTGAAATGTCACTCAATAATGCTGTATCAGAAAAGCTAAGTTAAACAATACAATCAATAAATTGTTCAGTTTCACTCTTACAACACTTTTGTGTTGAATATTGAATGGCGATCATTGGTAACGTGTTTGGTTGTACGGTCTTCACAGATTGTACAGTGCATCTAGTCCTTGCAAAGAACAACGTTTTGTAAAATAGTGCCAATATTCATGATGTTGTGTTATCAGGTTTTGCATCATGTAATGTAATATAATTGATCATTCAACTGACTGTTCATACTAAGCTGTGGTGTTTTCAAATCCAGTAAATTCATGGTAGGAAAACCGAAATATCAAGCTTGGAACGGATTAAAGAAGTATTGTAATCTTATGCTTTTCCAGTCAAATGGAAACGTTTATATATTAAAATCTATAACAAAACAAAGAAAATTAACAAGAAGACCCATGAGCTAAAAGATTACCGTTCTGGATAATTCTCTTGATATTTGGTTCTTACTTCTTGCTCAACTAACTGACCTACGATAGGAATTCTTCAAATAACCTATTGTTTTGTGTACGTGGATACAATAACAAAGTGAGAAATATAATTGAAGTGAGGTTTGTAATTAACCGGATATGAAGTAACCGATCCCTAATGTATTCTTCTAGTAAAGAGTTAGTCTAGAAACAGCTTCATGAAAGTTTTATTACTTTTGTTTAATCATAACAATATTTACTCATTTATTATTTTTATGATTTTACCTTGGAAATTGAAATATAGTTGGTATTGTGAGTATCTTTACGATGGTGTCAGAAGACACATTTTCAATGTGTCATACACACAACGGTAATAAATTGGTTTCTGTTGATAACACGTTCTCTAAATAGGTTAATGAGAAAAGCAAAACTAGAGAGTGGAAGGTGATTGCGAAGTATCACTGATAGGTTGAAATTAGACGTATACACTATTAGATCCGGTTCGTGGTCTAGAGACTAAGCAGCTGCGTGAGAGATCAACAGTCATTTATAATCTTTCTTTGTTAGCCCGATTCACATTAAATAATTTCGTCATATTCGAGTTGCCTCACCTTTTTTATTTGCTTAATTCATCAAATTCAACATCAGCGAAAATTTGCTTCCATCGCACAGAATCATTTCCAATTTTTTATGCAATTAGACTTGTTGATAACAACAATAAGTCTTCTTTCAGGTTTATGCATAACAGTATCAGTATTTTTCTTCTAGTGTTTTGAAGTCCTAAGATGTTCATATGTCTCTCTATTTTGATCCAGTTAGTTATAAAACGTTTTTAAAGTAAAAATAAGACTAAGGTGTATTTTTATAATCGCTTAATTATCACAACTACTTACATTAGGTTCTAAGCTCGGATAAAGTAGGTGAGTTTGTATGGAGTCAGCAGCCTCATCCCATAGAAAACAAACTTGCTAAAAAAAGACATTAGCCAGAATAAACAATTTAAAACATTTAAATTCTGCTGTCTAAGTTGAAAGATCTTTGCTTAGAAGGATCACGACGCCCCATAGGGAAAGCTTAGAATCTACGGTAGTGACGAAGCCGATACTTCTTCAAACAACCAGAGCTACAATCATATAGGTACATAGAATGTTCAGAAAATGTAGGAGACGGGAAGGACTGTTCAAATAGTTACGGGAATGAAGAGATACAACTCGGTAGTGTTCGGAATCAGTGATATCCATTAGACCGAAGCTGAACAGCGAAGGATAGATTCGGGAGAGATGCTGCTGTACTCTGGTCACAAAGAAGAAAATGTTTCGCATACTCAGAGATTTGCATTGATGCTATCCAATGAGCAAGTAAAGCACTCAACAAAGCATCATTCAAAACAAAGGAGGAAATCACGATGAATATTATCCAGTGTTATGTATCCACCAATGGTAGCAAAGAACATCATAAAGATCAGTTTTATAAGAGGCTAGAATCAATCATAGAGAAGTGCTCAGGAAAGGAACTGCTAATTCTGATTGGAGGCCTAAACGTCGATGTCGGAATGTACAACACCGGATATGAAGATATCCTGGGACGACAAAGGCTGGGAGACTGAAATGAAAATGGCGAGAAATTTGCAGATCTATTTGCATTCAACAAATCGGTTTTAGTCGCACAATATTGTCCCACAAACGCATACACAAAGCTACATTGATCTCACCGGACCACACCACGGAGAACCAGATCGATCATATTTGCATTAGTAAAAAAAATCCACTAGGTCAACCGAAGACGTGAGAACCAGGAGAGGATCTGACATGCTTATATAAGACTCTTCAACTATGCGTACCCTCGATCCATGGCGGTCTATCATTTATCGGTTCATGATTTTAATGAAACTCAACAATCTCCACAACCCCACGCTGCTCACCAGAATATTGTTAAATTGACCCACTAACGTCCAACTTTCGCATATAATGTCTCAGTAGTAATTTTGGTGGAGTTTTGTTCTCTGAGCTGGATGGTTTGGTCGTGGAGCTTTCATCGTTCTTCTGAACGACATCATCAGCACAAACTTCAGATAGAAGTGAAGTGTTTGAATTTCTCCATATGTGTCTCAAAGCTTGTTCTGTGCACCTCGACGTTGATTGGTTCTTATTGACCTTAAATTTGTCGTTGTTTACTTCTTTGT